CGTGCAATATCAAAAATGTAATTTCTATATCTTTTCTTCCCTTCTAATCTCTTTTTCGATTTATAAACCGAATTTAGATTTTAGATATTAAAAAAAAAATTTACTTTTAGGTACGAGTAAGTGATTTTATATGTATTCTTTTTAGGACTCTTTACCAAAAAGGATCATCATCATCATATCAGCCTTTAACTGTCCACTGCTGAACATAAGCCTCACCTTTGGGGGGTTTGCCAGTAGCTGCCATGCTCAGCAAGTGGATTGGCAACCGCAGTCTTGTCCGTCAGTATAAGCGTAGTGCGTTATTTAAATTCTTAAATATTTTATTTGATTTAATAACATTTGGGGATTTTTCATCTTTTCTTTATAACCTAAATGTTAACAACTCGTAAAATGTAAAATTTGACGTTTGTGAGATTGCAGAAGTACCTTAGAATTTTGATGATCGGCGACGATATTTAGGAACTTGGATAAGCGATAATTAGTAAATTATAAAGTATAATTATTAGGTAATATTGGTTAATTATTATATATCCTTTTGATTATAGAAATTCCAATTTCTTACTTTTTTTTTATACAACTTAGAATGGCAAACAAGCTGACGGCCCACCTGATGGAAAGTGGTAACCGTCACTTATAGACATGAGCAGTACCATGGACATAACAGAGTATACTGTTTCGCCCATGATACCCCCCCATGCATTGCCATTCCTGAGGACTCAGGTGTTATTCCTCTGTACCCAGTAAATTCACGCCATACCCCACCCTTTAAACCGAAACACAGTCATGTAAACACAACTGCTTCACGGTTGAAACACGAATGGGACAAAGGTACTCAAGCAATCGACTTTTCTACAAAGTCTCTCTCCCTTTATCTACAATTAAATTACAGGTGAGTCAAAAGTGCCGTAAGTCGCTTCGAGAAAAGAATGGTGTGGCCGTGTTATTTTTGCGGGTGCATGACTAGCCCCCTGATTTTATTTGAACTCGTATAAAAAATATATTGACTATATTGTAACTGTATAAAGAAGTTATTTTAAGTACGGAATAGTAAGCAGACTTTTGTGGACGCACTGAGATATTGAAATCTCTCGAAAAATGAACGAGTTCGCTATTTTCAACCTTTAGAACTATTTCATGTGTCATTTTCACATTTCTATACTAATATTTCTTATAAAAGACTAGACAGTATTTAGTCTGTGGTACTTACTTTGCTGATTAAACATTTCAATACCAGTAGTGACAGTTTAATGCGTTACAGCAGTTTAGGTGTTGTAAAGATGTTATATTGGATAAATATACTAGTACCTACTGATGTCAAGAATGTGTCTAACATAGGAAAGATTTGTATTTTTGTGTGTATGTAGGTTTGTAATGAATAAATTAAAAAACTACTTTGCTGATTTCAAAAATTCTTTCACCATCAGAATGCTACATTCACCCTGAGTAACATAGGCTATATTTATTGCTAGAAAAGATTAGAGATCCTTACTAAAATTTGAGTAACGTAACTTTTTGTTACGTGATTGGTGATAGAGCAAAAGTACGTTCTACAATATTGAAGAAAATATCAATAACAACAAAAAACTTTGTGATACTATATGTCCAACTATTATCGTTATGTCAGAATAACCACTTTTTAAAATGTTGTAAAAATGTCCATCCGTGCAAAGCCGGGACGGGCCGCTAGTATTTTATAAAAATAAATAATTTGGTAATCTTCATTCTACTCTTTGGCTTTTGTGACTGTATTTACGAAAAGAAAAAAATAAATAAAGGGTGACATATATATTATTTGATATATGTGAACAAAGATTTAAAAGAGTAACTGTTTAGTTTCTTGCGGGATCTCAACAGATAACAAGCTTGTGAACCCTGCAACAGATTAAAAAAAGGACGATTTAAAAGTGCTTGTACACAAGTTTATTTGAATAAAGATTAATTGATTTGAATATACCATGAATACCACGTAGTTTTTTTTTAATGAATGATAATTTTAATGGTTGAAAATGGAATGGTAACCCCGTCTGCGCTATCAGTACGAGTATACGCTGGTGACGCAGCAGTGAGAGGTGCGGATGAAAGCAGGTCAGTTAGCCCACTGTGAAGAATTCCACGATAATTAACCACGATGATTTCCAGGGGGAACCGCTTGGAGGTCGACCTGATAAGGGTACATTGCAATGGAGCTGTTAGACCCCGTTACTAACAATCCCTTTCCCCCCAATGGATGATAATAGAATGATGACCCTGCCTGTGCTATCGGTATACACTGGCGGGGCACCAGTGAGGGATGATAGGTGAAGATGAAAAGGCAGGTTAGTTAGCCCATTGTGACGAATTCAATGATAAATTAGTCACGATAGTTTCCAGTGGGAACCGCGTGGAGATCAACCTGGTAGGGTATTTTCATAGCAATGGGGACTAACCTCCCCTCCCTTCCTCGTTTTTATTATCATCATCATATCAGCCGTTAACTGTCCACTGCTGAACATAAGGCTCCCCCCCATAAAGGGAGTTTTGACAGTAGTTATCACGCTTGGCAGGTGGTTTTTTTAATGGATGAAATGGTGTTATTTATATCTGATATATCTGACTTTAATATAGATAAATGTATCGTATTTATGTAAAATCATGCTTATATATTAAATTATTAAGGCATGAAGGGTATCATGGGTGACACAGTGTACTCTGTTATGTTTAACATGGACGTAACAAATTAATAGAGTACACCGTTGCCTAAAGATGTGTGTTCATGTCTATATTTGATGGTTACTACTTTCCGTCTGATGGGCCGTCAGCTTGCTTGCTATTCTAAGCTGTATAAAAAAATTTTAACTTAAAAAAATCAATTGATTTATGAACATCTTTTTTTATTTAAGGTTGTTAGAGTGGGTTTTTATATACATTAAAATATATAAATACTTGATTGTACGAACGCGATTATTTTATTTAACAAATAACTCCCACACCTGCCTTCCAAGATTTAGAACAATAATAAGTAGCTATAAATAATTTTAAAAAGTTCTTTTAAGAACTAATTGAAATTAATTACTTAATTTATTAATTAAGCACTTAATTCTACACTTGGAGACTAATTAATATTAAGACGCGAATCTTATAATATAAATTAATTTATGAATACTATTTTTTATTTTTAAAGAATCTTACATTTTTCACGTAAGTACAAAAATAATGAATATACATATTTCAGGTGCTTAAGTATTTTATGTATCTTTAATCACATAAAAATTGTACGGCCTAAAAATATTGATAAACTAGCTTGATTCTTGGCTTCGTTCGATTGAATCAATACGTAAAGTATCCTATGTGCTAATTTAGGATATACCCTACTCGAGTACCAAATTTCATTCAAATCGGATCATAAGTTTTTGCGCGAAAGAGTAACAAACATTAATTCATTTATCCATCTTTACAACTTACGCATTTATAACATGAGTATTAATATCATAATAGTATACTTTTAGGTCTACTGATATATATTAATTAATAATGGAAATATGCAGTTTAATATACACTTATTAAGTAATTTCAGAAAGGAGCAACACATCGCTTGTTTATTTTTATTTAGGTATGTGTTACTTGATATGATTATGTTATGCAGAGCAGTTATTGGAGTGCAAATTTAATGCTGTTTTATGTAATATTTATTTTATTAATGTATTAATTTGTAATCTGTTGCCTTGCTATAAATAAATAAATATATAAATATCTTCGTCAATATTTTGATAATTCTTATATACTAATATTTAATTTAGTCACGAGCAACAAATTAAATTAAGTTAATAATTTTAAATTTTTTTAATTGTAAAGAAAAGTACAGAATATTATTTGTATGAAACAAGTTTCCAACAAATCTGGTACAGAACATGTTTTACGACTTGGGTGTGCGTGTGGAAACGAGGATGTAGGTAACAGGCAACGCATAATAGGGCTTTAGCGAACTCTTTCTCGCAGATATGGATTTAAATAGATGCCGTAACAAGGTGTATTTTGCGTGTTTATTGTCGGTTTATAATTAGATTCAAAACGATCTAATTTACTTTGGCTAAATTTGGTTCGGTCAGAGTTCTTAAGTAAAATGTTTTGCGAATTAATTAAAACCGCATTTCTGAAATCACAACCTGTTATTTTAAAAGGTTTTAAAATAATATATACCTTATATATTGTAGTTACAGTGTAAGATATGTATTGACCCAATAATAGATATATTAAATAACGGTTAACCAACATGATATATCGAAATGAAGAACTTGATCGAAATACGTATATAATACCCAAGCAATCTACTTTGTACAAAAGTCGATTGCTTGGGTACCTCTGTCCCATTCGTGTTTCAACCGTAAAGCAGTTGTGTTTGCATGGCTGTGTTTCGGTTTGAAGGGTGGGATATGGCGTGAATTTACTGGGTACGGAGGAATAACACCTGAGTCCTCAGGAATGGCAACGCATGGGGGGTATCATGGGCGAAACAGTATACTCTGTTATGTCCATGGTACTGCTCATGTCTATAGGCGACGGTTACTACTTTCCAAGAGGTGGGCCGTCAGCTTGTTTGCCATTCTAAGTTGTATAAAAAAATGTATAGTACAGCTACGTATTACGTTTATATAGTTATGTATACGTAAATATAGCTTATATGGACGATATCAAAGTGGGTAATGATTCTTTTTTTCTATTATCAATCTCCAGAAGAGCGCAATATATAGATATCGGAGTGGTAATGATATTACTCATGTCAAGTTTATAGGAAGAGGGGATTTGTTGTCAAATAACTTTTATCATAATCAAATAGATTAGTGGATGCAGGTGGCTAAGGATCGTTCCTTATGGCAGTCTATAAGGAAGGCCTATGTTTATCAGTGGACAGGCAATGGCTAAGATGAATATATATATATATATATATATATATATATATATATTTCGCATATAAATTACTACGCATATTAACAAAAACAATATTATAAGAATATAAAGCACTACTAATGAAGTTGTTTATAGCAAAAGAACTTCATAAATTCTTTATTACAATGAGCTCGTTTTATTTTGTTGTAGAAGTCAGTAAAGTGAAGCATAAATAGAATAAAGTTTGCCAAGCCTATCCAGTAAGTGCTGCTATGTAGCGGACATGCCGAGATGAAAACTTGCACTATTAAATGTGCTATTACTAGTACAAATTGTATCTGAAAAAAAAATTAAGACTTTAATTTTTATACCATTATTTACATGCAAAATGGTCATGTAGAAACGGTCTGGTACATTAATTTTCCTTCGTATTTCTGAAAGCTAGTATATATTAGTATCCTAATTAGTATTTTGGTTTTCTAAAATATAAAATAAAAACACACCGATTGCACTAATGTCAAATATTTTTTCCACCAGATATATTTCTCGTATCCAGGTCCTAAAGACGTTATACCATAATGAGTGGATATAATTCCGTGGATGATACAATTTATACTAGCCATAAAAGCCCAGTGATCAGAAGGATCATATTTTAAACATAACCATGCGATAACCACCATAAATACATGGTGATACATATGAAGAAATGTAACATGGTCGTATTTTTTACGAATTATGAAGAATACAGTATCGAACAGGTCTAAGACTTTTGTGACCATATATTTCCAGTACAATGATGCAATTATCTGTAACAAAATATGTATAATAATAATAGAATAGAATAGAATAGAATAGAAATCATTTATTCAAATAAACTTACATTCAAGCACTTTTGAAAAGTCATTACATTTTTTTTAATTTACCGCTCGTTCGGAAAGCTGTCTCATCACAAGAAGAACGAGCAAGAAACTTGCGTGATGCTCTTTTAAATATTTTTATTATTACTTTACATTTTTAAGTTTAATTGTGTGAATACAAACCACCAATTAGCACTAATTCAATTAAATACTCAAAAAGAAAAAAATATTGAATACATAACCAACTGGTTAAACAATTAATAAGAGGAAATCAGTCATAGTGATTAGAGCAGACCAGTCCCTACAAGCAGCACCCGTTCACGAGTATGACGGATGAGCCAGCCATCACTGCGCTCGACCATATTTTAGGGAGCCCAATGACCCGGCCCACCACGCCGCCACAAGTCTGGACATTTTAGTGAGCATGACTACTCAAAATACTAGACCACGTCAAAGCTACTCACAATAATAATAATAATAAACTCTTTATTGTACACAAAAGAGATGTACACAAGGAGTATTTATACAGAATGTACATATACAAAAAGCGATCTTATCGCTAAATGTACTCTTACAGACAATTTGGTATAAATAGATAAGTACAGAGAGAAAGGTAGATAGCGCAAGTCAGACAAGTTTGCAAGTCACAAATTCAAAAGTAACCAAATAAAATGTATATTAATCGAAATATCATATATAAAAAATAAGACTTAATCACATACACTGTTGTGTTAATTTAGCTAATCTGTTATTTTAGGATATAACCTATCTGTATATCAAATTTTATTCAAATCCGTTTAGCCATTTAAACGTGATTGGGTGTCAAACAATTAAACATAAATTTTTAAAAATTTTCATATTTATATATTTTTTTTATCCAAAGCTCAAAATACATTATATAGGGTACTACATAATAGCATTTTGAAAATTATAAATTACAATTACTGTTATTTTCAGTCTGTACAATTCAATTTTTTCTTTTTGATTACATTCAGTCCACTTCGTAAGTTTATATAATAAATATATACAATTAATACATACATTATAATGTCAGTAGGAAGTAGAACAATAGTACTTATAGTCATCATTAACAATATTATAACAACCGCTAACTGTCCACTGCTAAACATAAGTCTCCCTCTAATGTGGGGATTTGCTAGTTGTCGCCACGCTTGGCGAACAGGTTGGTAATCGCAGTAAGGCTTTAGTGATGTTTCAAGAGGGACGTTGCTGTCTATCCCTTGACCATCAAGTTCCCTTAGTCGCCTCTTACGACACACGGGTGGCCCATCCTATGCCGGGCCACACGGCTAATACGTACCTATTTTTATTTATTTATTTGCATTAATGATCTCTATATATTGTTGGAAATTTATTTTTATGATTATCATCTGGTACTACGTGAGTCGGTTTCAATTTTTCATGATAAAAACAAATTCATCATCACATTTCTGTGATAAGAATCCCAATTATTTAGGGTCGACGTAATATGTTAAAAAAATAAATTATTGTGAGAAAAAAATAACCACAGTTGAAACATAACCAGTGTCATTGTACACATAAATAATCGTAGCAAAACAAAAAGTGAAATCACAAGCAGTAACTTAAAGGGTCGTCAACAATATCATTATTTAAACACGCCACTGGGAGGAACGGATGATTGGTGCCTGGGGGCAATTGCGCCCATTTCCCCTCTTGCTTCCTATTCTATACCTATCTGTTGTTTTGTTGAAATGATCGATTTTTATGTACAAAACACAGCTTTTGTTTTAGATGCTTAGAACTTATTTCCCAGAATTATTTTATTAACCGCCATTGTGACAGTTGACAATCATGAAAAGAGCTCTTCTTTTCTGCTCTTGGGGGTTTATGTCTTTATCGTATCCGTCTTTGGCAGTTTACTTGAATTTATGGATTTATTTACATTAGATTTTTTATATTAGTTAATTTTAAACTTTCGCGTTGTTTACACATATTTTAAATACACAATCGGGATTTAACGTGATGTAAAAGCTTTTTGCAGCTCGAAGTTGCCAGACCAAGACGTCGCTCGCTTCAGTCCTGACGTGACCACAACGTGGTGCGATACACGTCGAAACGTCGGCAATAAAGAAGCATGTATGTAGGTATTATTTACCTGTAAAAGCTTTTACATCGCGTAAAGTCCCGATTGGATAATTAAAATATTGTACGTATTATTTTAATGTTTTGGATATTACAGATTCTAAATGTTTCTGTAACTTTATTTACATGATTGTATTACAAAATAGATTATCTCCTGCTCCATGCTCAATTATAAGTATATGTATGTTAAATTTTATGATAATTGGTTAAGCCAAAAGGCAAAAAAAGTACTCACTTTCAATTTTATAATATTAGTGAGCATTACTTTAAATTTAATATTTTTCTAAAGTTGTTGAAACAACAGTTTGTATTTTGATGGATTCCTAATTTAGAGAGGGAAAGTAGAGACTAGATAAAATTTTAAAGTTTATAGTATATACCTACCTATGTTTAGGTTTATGTTATATTATCCTGTTTATTGGTACTTCGTTCATGACACAATTTATATGGACTTATATCGAATAAACTCTGTCGTGAAGAGTTATCAAAATCGGCTATTATCGTTATAACACACAGAAAATATGAAGACTCATTGAGTAGCTCTTCTTTTTTGATATCGCTTATTTAGCGACAGTAAATATCATGCTTAAACAACACACGAGTACCTGTATCTGTCTGTACATATACCTACATCTTTTGATTATCCAATTTCTTGGCACATCTTATCTAGATTTATACTTGACATGTGTACAACTCAAGTAATATTAAAATATATGATTACGAAAGGTCAATTTCATTTGTACGTAACTAATTTGTATGGATATGCATTTGTAGTACTTACGTATAATTTTAGGTTATTATGTTCACATTTGCTTGGAAACAATCCATTCTCAAGAATATATAAGAGAAACTGTAATGAAATTATGTGATAATTTTAATATTTTATTTATTGCTATTCATTAAATGGACTATTAGATTGAAATAAAAAGTATAAATTATCTTGGCGTAATTATTGATACATGATTCAAACCGATAAATAATTATAATTCAATATATGAACTCTTTTAATAAACCAATAAAATAAAAATAAGCTTAGTATAAAAAATCAGCTGATTTGAGAACCTCTTATTAGCTAAAACATCTCTTAAATATATGTATTTTAGATAATTATAGCATACACATGTATGCGTGTATATATATGTATATGATTATAGCCGTCAGCTTCGTGAGTTGATACGTCTAGGTCGCTAAATAACAACCCTTAAAGCAAGTGTCAGGCTTCCGAGGAGTTTGTAAACTCAGCGTGCCATTAACTAACTATCTAATAACGCATTTGGAATTTATATGTTAAGAGACTATATTTTCACAACGAGACTATACACGATTCGTTTTGACTATGATTGTACAAGTAGATATACCTAATTTAAAACGATAATTCCATCTATTCGTTTCGAATAGCTTGTTTTGAGCTACGCATGAAGATCGTAGAAAGAGGATATCGTAAGTCGTTAATCTATGGTGTAAACTAAAAAGTTATTGACTGATTCTCATTCTAATTTATATTAACTTTAGTATTATGTCAATAAAAATGAAATAGTAAAATTTCTTAGTGAATAGTAATAGACAATATCAATATTGTCGTCTTTGTTGTTAGTATGAAATATTTTCCTTTTCTACTAACTAATTCTTACCAGCCGTTACACCTGGCATCACTTTTTTACACTTTTTTTTTTCAAAGTTAATTTAAAAAAAATATTTTAAAGTGAATTTACAGGGTACAGAGGAATCAAGGTACTAGAGTTCTCAGGAATGGCAACGCATGAGGGGTATCATAGATGAAACGGTATACATTGTTATTTCCATGGTATTGCTTATGTCCCTTTCCATTGGGTGGGTCGTCATCTTGTCATTCTAAGTTGTATAAAAAAAAGTTAGATGGAATACCATCCAACATTCTGTGATTTTTGTAAATACTCTATGCTATAGCACATTTCTTTAATATTTAATTTTGTATCAGGTAGAAAGCACAGAGTATCTCGCGAGTAAGTAACTTTCATAATACGTCTAATGTACGAGTACGTAGAGTACGGGAGACTCTTGAGTTACAACTTGTTTTAGCTTAGTAACTTAACTTTTTATATATGTATAGCTACTTCTTAAATTGAAATTAAGGACGTCGTAATTACCTTATAGCCTAAAGTACTTGAATTAATAACTTTGAACGAATTATAAAATATGAGAATTCCTTTTGTTTGGAATGCGCTCCTTCCTTCCGTTATTATTGGGCCAATCTTCAAAACACAAATAGGATAAGTTATCAAAATGAACGCCATTTCGCTAGGATTTATCAGAGGCCACCAATCCACGAATGTGACTGAAATAAAAATACTTATTTGTATAATGTATTGACATTCAAATATTGATATAATCTATGAAGTTGGCTAAATACATAATTTTTTTGCGAAATATTTTTTTACCTTAGAATGGTAAACAAGTTGGCAGTCCACCATATGGAAAGCAATGAATAGATAGATAAACACTTAATTTTAGTCATCTATAACACTTGTAAATTAACAACTAAATTAACAAAATTATTTAAAATAAATAAATGAGTTAATAACAAGTAGAAATTAAGTTAAACTTGGGATCGGTGTGCAATAGTTTGCATCGGAAAGTTGCACTAATATGCATCTATCAAAACAGTATGAAACCATTATGCCCTAAGTATTGCAATTCGAGAGTGTGAAACATTTCAATTCCAATATCGACACCTATTGGAATTTAATTCAAGCATTTCACCTAGGAATATAAAATTTTACTTCACATATGTAAAACATGTACCCACTATACTATTCAAATATAAAATAAGAGGCTTATTCAGTGTAAGCATATACTTTTATTAACGCCGAATATCAGTCTTAGCTCTGGGGAATATACATACCATATACATAAGAGGAAAGAATCAGAAGCGACATGGCTGTACGTGTAGTTTCCTTTGACAGTAAATATATTAATGTCATAGAGCGAGTTAAACAAACATTTTAATGTACGTTTTTATAGTGTAGTTTTTGTTAATATTTTGAAATAACAGAAAATAGCATTTTCGCTTTTGCTAATATATTTTGTACCTGTTTATGAGCTCAAAAAGAATTTGGAACAAGATATAAATTGTCTAATTAAGTGGATGCGGATATTGTTTTTAATGGGTGAAAATGGAACCCTTGCGCTACCGGTATGTGGCGAGGCACTAGTGAGAGACGATAGGTGATGATGAAAGCAGGCCAGTTGGTCTATCGTGACAAATTTAACAAGAATTAACTACAATGGTTTCCAGGGGTAATCAGGTGGGGGTTGACCTTGACCTCGACCTTGTAGGGTATATTGATAGCATTGGAGATTTTAAGTCTTCATTATTAACAATCTCTTTCTCCCAGCGTGCGAATGTTCTGGGTGGTGCTCTTAAGTAATATAGTTTAATAATACAATACTTTAATTTCATAATCAGAAGAGCTCTTATATACTGGGCACGTACTGTCGAGGAAGGGATATTCAAATAATGTAAAGAAAAAATAATTATTACCTAATTTGAATATACATATTTATTTTATAAATTTATTCAAATTGTTTAGAATTATTCATATTAGGTATACAAATTTATATAAAAAGGGCCGGGCAGGGCATTTTACACTTCCATTTAGAGTAAAAGCACCAAATTGTAAATTAACAAATTGATTCAACATAATTCAGCGAAACAAACCGTGTTTCGTCGAATTGCCGAGGACATAACAAACTCTTTATTGCGCATAAAATCGATGTATTCATAAATACAGAATGTGCAATTACAACAGACGGCTTTATTGTTAAAAGCAATTTTTACAGACAATCTAGGGCATCGCATATTAAATAAAAAAATATTTAGTCCAATGAAGAAGCTTCTACTTTTTTTAAGTCAACCGAAAAACAGATAAAGGGAAAGATCGAGACAAAAAATTCTATCCGCTTACGGAACCCTACGACTTGACAAATTGCACCAAGTATTACAGTTATGATGGGCCAGACAGTTGACAAATGAAACCAAATAAAAGGTGAATATTCAAATGCTTTTGGGAAAATGAGAGACATTTCTCTATGTTGTTGTTGGTATCTAATTTTTTAGGATCCTCTCACTTTTAATTTTCCTAGAAATGACAAGACGAAGACTACCAGATAAGGTAAGATATTGAAAAGAAAATATTCTTACGTTGTCCTTTTGGAATATATAAACTCATATGAAAACACAGTCATTGTGAATTATTAAATAAATTTAAATCACGAGTAATATCACATGTTACAAATACAATGTAGTGTTGATATTGGAAAACTGAAAATAATAACATAATATTATTGACAGTAAGTTAGGTGAAATAATACAAGGACACTTTGGCACAACGTCAGATGTTACTGGTATGTGGACTTCTTAATTAATGGGTTTTGTGAAAAATGCCGCGTGTGCTCTTTAGTTTCCTTTATTTCTCATAATAACATTAAACTATACTAATACCAAAATTCTTACCGTTTCTTTCTAATATTTCGTCTCGTTTTCTGTTTGTTAATGGCACAATGGGTAGTACTAGTCCTTTGCCAAAATTAAATAATATATACATATATATACACACATATACAAGCACAAATATGTATATGAAAATGATTGGCTGACCAAGCTGCCAGTAGCAACCTCTCTTAATCATTATTTTGAGATATCGATTACCCTCCTTGGGGAAAGTTCTTTGGTTTCAGTTTGATGTACTCAATATGATTGACCCTGTATACAGCCGTGATTAAACTGCCATAGACAATACGACTTGGGTTTGATGTTTAGGGTCTTAATTATTTGATACGTCGAGACTTCAAGAGGTAAGTTAGTTGGTTTCATTGTAAGGGATTGGCCCAGCCTATCGTGTGTTGAAACCTGTCGTTTGTTGTTGGTTTTATACTTCCCATCCAAATTGTTCTGAACTATTGGAAAGATGAATTTTATATAATATACTAGGAATACGACCCGGCTTTGAACGGATAGTACTTTTCTTTTTATTACGACACAGTGGGCAAACAAGTATGCGGCTTACTTGACGGTAGCTGACTATCGCCGCACATGAGCATCCACAACACCAGAGGCTTTATAGGTGTTCTGCCAGCCTATTAAAAAGGAATATGTTCTTTTCTTAAAGTCATATATGTGTATATGTAGGTGTATATCTAAATTATGGTGTCAATTCTGAGCTATAATTTATTAGTTAATTTATAAAAAAAAAATTTAATTATATATTTATTTTTACTCAAAATATACTACGTTACAGACCACCGAGAACAAAATTATAATGCAATTCTGATTCTAATGTAGTTCTATAATTATAGTTTATTCTGCTCTTTGGAATAATATACGTTATTACATTGTAATGTGAAAACAGAAATCATAGTTTTAGAGAGAGAAATGGCGCTTCAGAATCGACCCCAATGTGTCTAATCTAGGCACTAGAATAATGATACTTTGTCTGGTCTCTCTTGGGAATATGAAAATGAGGTACAATACGTCTGTGTGTGCATATATCCATAAAATAGGGTTGTTGCTTAGTATAATGATATAATTAGGTTACGAAGTGAGTTGCGCGCTAGAAAATGAGGCAATAAAGGGAAATCGTAAGATGTAATGACGCGTCCACATTTTAATACAGCTCAGAGGAAAGAGTTATGTTTATTAGGTTAGCACTGTTAACACTAAGTAGTAAATGGAAGGGGAATGGAAATTGAGATGTACTTTATGGTTTGACCTCACAATTAACTAATACTGGTTTTTGCTCGTGACTTTGTTCGCGTTATTTCGATAAATTAATTGATCGGGATTAAAAATAGCCTTAGTCCACTTGAAATGTAGACAAAAAACAAATAGATATTCGATTTTTAGAATGAAGATAGCACTTTCATTCCAAATATGGTAAATATCAAATTTTATGACTAGTGGACTATATTAAGAGGTAAGAAATAAATTTATTTTCAACTTTTACAAATTTTAAACTTATAATATTATTGTAATATTGTAGTTGGAAATTGAAATATACGATAACAATATAATTTACTTGGATTTATGACTTACACATATAATACACATTTAAATTTAGAATAATGTTATATTTGCATGGGTATCATAGGTGACACAGTATCCTCTGTTATATCCATGCTACTGTTCATATCTATAGACGACGGTTACTACTTTCCAACAAGTGTGCCGTCAGCTTGTTTGTTATTCTAACTTGCATAAACAAAAACATACGAGTAGTTATAATATAATGCAAGTAGAGGATTTTCCCGGCGCAACGGTATTCATTTTAGCGCTCCTTTATCCTTTCAGTCCTTCAGCTAAGTCACGAAAACTTCATTTTTCATTCTCCTAGCTCGTTCTTTTTATTGCTTTTGTGTAAAAAATAAGTGCACGCCAAGATAAGTAAGTGATTTATTTAGTGTTAGGAGATGAACGTGAGTATTAGTAATCTATTACTAAAATACTCTTCACGATAACAATGTTTATTTCTGGATATTGTTTGATTTATAGGGCTTAGTGAAAATATGAACATCGGCTGCGATGAAATATGTTTTTGCGTGTAACATTACATGTTATAAAATCGATTCTTAATCGGTGACATAATCGTGTAACATAGGCGTGAAAACCTCGTCTTTTCGATGTCACTCGAAAAGAGCAATGCAGAAGTTTTATTGGCTGTTTTCAAATTTAAAGTTTATTGCGTGTGTATAAGTTCATCTGTTGTTTATCTTCATTGAAATAATTTTTGTGTGCAATAAAGTATAAATAAAAAAATAATATTTTTGGGAATTTAAAATTGGAATTGATATATTTTTTTTAACATCGATAGTATTTACACATGTATTGGTCATATATTAATATTGTCATGACTTTTAGCTTTTCTTTTGCAGAGTAAAATTTTTTTAAATAAACAGAAAAGTTGTTGTAACGAGATTAGATTTCTTGATAATTCAAGACGTGATGCCAGTATCGAGGAGTTCTTAATGAAATTGAAAAATATGGCGGTGCTCACAGAGTATTATGTTTATTATCTGCACGGTATGGGCATTGCAAAATATATTTTCATTATATTTCGCAACGTACCAGCTAAATTAAGTATTTGTTTAGTAAGTATACATCGACTAACAAAATATATTTACAACAAGATAAGAAATGTAGAAAATATTCCAAAATTAATTTACGTCTCATAACATAACATTTGCCGTGTGGTCCCAGTATAGAATAGGCCATCCCTTCTTTTCCTGTGGGTGTCGTAATAGCCGACTAAGTGTGGGCGAAAGATGGGTAGCAGTGTCCCTCTTACCACAATGTCTCTAAAGCCTGATTGCGGTTGCCATTCCATCTGCCAAACGTGGCAACTACTGACAAATCCCTCAAGGGGGAGGTTTATGTTCAACAGTAGACAGTTAAAGGCTGATATGATAATGATGTTGATGAACTTAACATTTACATTTCATTCACAGTTCTCATTACAACAATAGTAGGTAATCATTATTTTTTATATTTTATTTATTTATATATTATTATATAATATTTTATACCTTTATACTCGTATTTACGTATGTATATTATAATTATCATTTTATGTTATTTATGTGTTATTTATTTTGTACAGGTATACATTATTAGTTGTTGTTTTCTTTACCTATCCTATTTATAATAAAAGGTGTGTTGTGTATATATTTCGACAACTTACTACAAAAGCTTGTCTCATATCTGTTTATTAAAGACTGTGTTTTTAAAAATAAAGGAAGCTCAAAGTAATAAATGTAAACCTAACAATATATAGATTTTGGCACATCAAATTATAAATAAATATTATTATATTGACAAAACATATTTACTGATTTAAATAGTTTTATCAAGTATTGCTTAAATAAACTTTTTAATTTTTTTTATAGTTCTTTTTTTATATATTTTTTTATACAACTTAGAATGGCAAACAAACTGACGGCCCACCTGATGGAAAGTGGTAACCGTCGCCTATAGACATGAGCAGTATCATGGACATAATAGAGTATACTGTTTCGCCCATGATACCCCCATGCATTGCCATTCCTGAGGACTTAGGTATTATTCCTCTGTATCCAGTAAATTCACGCTATATCCCACCCTTCAAACCGAAACACAACTATGAAAACACAACTACTTCACGGTTGAAACACGAATGGGACAGAGGTACCCAAGCAATCGACTTTTGTACAAAGTCTCCCTCTGGTTTATTATATCACGAAGGTAGCAAACAAGCATACAGCCCGTCTGACGGTAAGTAGTTACTGTAACCTGTGTCGCCTGCGACACTAGGGGTGTCACGTGCGCGTTGCCGATCCTAAAGAAACCTTATAGTAAGACAGTTTTAATTAAGTTTTAATTAGTCACAACTATTGTATATTTTTTATATGATGGTTCTATATATGTAAACATAGACCACCAGATTTATCAGAGGGAAACTTTGTATAGAAGTCGTTTGCTTGGGCACCCCTGTCCCATTAGTGTTTCTACCGTTAAGCAGTTGTGTTTGCATGATTGTGTACAGAGAAATAACACCTGAGTTCTCAGGAATGGCAACGTATGGGAGTATCATGGGCGAAACAGTATTATCTGTTATGTCCATGGTACTGCTCATGTCTGTAGGCTACGGTTACCACTTTCGATCAGATAGGTCGTCAGCTTGTCTGCCATTTTAAGTTGCATAAAAAATAAAAGATTTTTACATTAAAATATATACAATTTGAAATACTTAAAAATGACTATATATATTATATAAATTATGAGTATGTTTTGTCAAGTAACAGGTTTCATGAAAATCCTATATTTCCCTTGAGACGTAAGTCGACGAAGGGCACGTTATTAAGGTATCCTAAAACTTATTAGTGGCATTATGGCAAGACAGGTAATCCTATAGCCTCAAAACTAAATTAGGGCTTGTAGATTAACGGCGACCGTTAAAATTATGATTTATTTAAAATATTCACTGAAAATACATATAAGACTTGAAAATGGTGTAGTTTACGATTTATTCAAGTTTTCTTTATAAAAAAAATATTTTATTATTATTATTTTTTGTTTTAAATAAATTTTTTTATTATTATATATATTATCATACAGGATTTTTGTTTAGGTGGTAAAGTTTTATATTAAATATATTTGTGCCTAATTAGATTTATTTCATAACAATTTCTTTTTTTCCGAGCG